CAATTATCAGTGGTGGTATTGGGAACCACTTACGGTAAAACTGTGCGTTAGTTATACATTGCTTAACCGGAGGTGGTAAGAACAGATTTCGATAACCGGGACATAACCGAAAATGTTGCCGTTAAGTTACCGACACTTTAACGAACACTTTACCGGACATAGTAAGAACGGCCCTAAAACCGTAATGAATACATAAAACCGTGTTTAGAATAATTAGTTAAAAATGCAATAGTTAAGTTACATTATGTACTTTGTACTTAACATTATATTTTTTCTATATAAACAATTTATTAGTTAAATTACATTTAAACACATTATAATATATTTTTTTATATATAGACATGTAAAATAAATAGGCAAAAATTAAATTATACACGTATATACATGTATTATACGCGTACGGTCGGTCGTAATTTCTAAACGCGATTGCGAAGCGAACCAACCGATTTCGTAAGAAAAGCGTATATAAACGGCTTTAGAAAGACGTCAACTACACGATTTGGGCACGAACGACGTGCGAAAAGACGAAACTGTCGGAGAAAACGAAAGAAATCGGCAAAAAAGTCCGGCCGGGAGCGTATTTTGCGATCGACATTGCGACGGCTACGGACGGTGAACGGATATAAACCGCACATCAGCGGCTTCGAGAGATCGCGAGCAATGCGAATCAAATATAAATATGAGCGAAAAAGGCTAGAAAACGGTCGAAATCGTGTAAAAAGTGTAAATTTCGAAAATTTCAAAAATGATAAGAAAAGAAGTGATAACGCGGTTATTGCCCGCCGCAGAATCTGAACGTTGCGATTGGCCAGGCCGGAAAAACGACACGAAAGTCGTCTATCCCCGTGGACAAAACTGGGGACTATTCGCGTTTTATAATATAAGAGACTAGCTCTAAGTATAACTCGGGGCCCGTTGGACTCGATAAGAGTGGATACCGATTTTGGAGACTATGTTGTTGGAATTATAAAATTCGCAAAGGTTGTAAGACGAAAGTTTAGGATTTGTGATAAGGAGTAGTGATATGGATTGAAGATAATGCTTGGCGCTTTGGTGGGAATGTTTAAAAGTTTAAGTGTCTAGCAATCCGTCACGAACATTGAAAGTAGATACGATCTCCAGGATCTCTATACGTTTGTCAGCTGCTTTTGGTTGTTGAAATCGTCAAAAAGTGTAGAGTCGATATGTGTATTTGATTGTCTAGCTATCAGTCATAAAATCACATAAGTAAGCAATATGAGAAGCATATATTATCAGGTATGCACTCCACCTGCGGTGGATTGCGGACCCCGTTAGTTGCGCAGATAAGTGAATAATCAAAAATATAGATTCTAGTTGGCCTATGGGACTCGCTGAATTTGGGGGTACCGATTTTGGAATAAGAGTCGTTTCAATCATAAAAGTAGCGACAGTCGTAAGATGGAATTTTAAGATTTGTGATAAGAATTAGTGATATGAATTGGAGATACGGCTTGGCGCTTTGGCGTAGATGTTTAAAAGTTTGAGCGTCTAGCAATCCGTCACGAACATTGTAACTGGATACGATCTCCAGGATTTCTAGGCGTCTGTCAGCTGCTTTTGGTTGTTGAAATCGTTAAAAAGTGTAGAGTCGATATGTGTATTTGATTGTCTAGCTATCAGTCATAAAATCACATACGTAAGCAATATGCGAAGCGTATATCATCAGGTATGCACTCCACCTACGGACCCCGTTAGTTGCGTAGATAAGTGAATAATCAAAAATATAGATTCTATTTGACCTATATGAGACTCGCTGAATGTGGGGTCATCGATTTTGGAAGTATTGTTCGTGCCTGTTGTAAATCGAATGTTGGATAATTGTTCTAATGGATAGGATTTATGATAACGCGTTTAGTGATATGAATTTAAGATTGAGATAAGATTTGATGCTTTGGAGGGAATGTTTAAAAGTTTAAGTGTCTAGCTATCAGTCATCAACGGTGTAAGTACGCATATTTTACACTTCTTTTTTGTGGTTTTTGGGTCTGTCCAAAAGTTTGAAGTAAAAAAAAACCATTTACCTAATCGATTGTCTAGACTATCAGCGCACTTTGTTCAACGTGTAATTATGATCCATATTGCACCGGCTGCATCCGAATTGGGTCCCGAATTCAAAAATGCTATACTAGTTGGGTCCGGGATTTTTGCAGGTACTACACTAGTTGGGTCCGGGATTTATGCAGGTACTACACTAGTTGGGTCCGGAATTTTCACACGTACAACAATAGTTGAGGTCTTAATTTTTTTTTTTTTGAGTACTACATAAGTTTATTTTCCTTCCCCTTTTTAACAGACTTATGACTGTTTATTTAGACCAAAGTTATGGTTAAAAATGTTTTTACAATTTATTTTTTTTAGTTTATTTGCCATTAAAAATATAAATTATTAGAATTTTATTTGAATAATAAATGGCAATAACATGCAGGTACTAAACAAAGAAAAATATTAAAATTGTTATAAATCAAATATAAAAAATACATAGGTATTGTATAATATAAATAAAATATTGTTTAATGAAATCACACGTGTTGTTAAAATTTTTTAAGACATTAATTTTGAAAAATCAAATCGATTTATTATTACTGCATTTTTTTGATTCATTTTGTTTTTTATAAATTTTGATAAATTGATCATTGGAATATTTAAAAAAAAATGACTTACATGATCTCTGAATGCATCTCCATCGTTCAATATCATTTTTCGTTTGGATTGTATATTTACTTAAAATAATCTCAGACCCAACTAGTGTGGTACCCAAAAATATCCTGGACCCAACTAGTGTAGTACCTAAAAAAATCCAGGACCCAACTAGTGTAGTACCTGCGATTTATCCCTAGTACTCGGGACCCAACTCGGATGCGCCGATTGCACCAGCCCTTTTTGTAAGTAAAAAAGTGTACGTCGATAATTCGATTATTAAGTCGATATTTATAAAGTTCATTAATTTACAAAAAATAGTAAATCCCAAAGTATATATTTATATAAATGTGTGTTTATTGTATGATAAATGATAAAAACATATTATAAACACAATTAGGTGTACTAATAAATTACACTGTCTTAATGTACCTAATTAATTCCAAGAAAATAAATATACGATCATTGTTATGATCAGATCAAGGCTATTTAGTGCATGTAATTAACACAATTAATCATAGGGATGTCAATATTAAAATCCATTTGAATATGGTACATTGCCATTTTTGTTGTTTTGTTAAAAAATATAATATGTTTAGTATACATACCTATCTATTACATCGTTTTTATTAAAAGTATAATTTAACTTAACCTATATTGCAGTATGTCATTGATACTATTAAAATTATTTATTTATTTTAGCAAATTGTGTGCGTAATGGAACCGTTTGATTTAGTATGGTATGTATAATATATTGAATCAAAAACAGTAGGTAAACAATATTTTAAACAGAAAGTCGGGTGTTAGTTACATACAGCGCCGGATCATAGCAAAGCACACAAAATCAAGCACACTCACACAGTACTGCGAGGAACTGAGGACCAACATTCACAAAACCTTTCCAAATGTACTGCAGGACCAATCATTTATTTACCACAAATAATTTGAACGATTTTAACTTGAAAATGAAATATTTTAAATTTTAAACTATTCACGTAATATAGTTTTAGAAGAACTTCTTAATGGTGTATTTAAAGCTAAAATCTGTGGTCAATATTTCTAAGTTCCAGGTTTAGAATAAATAATATTGATAATAATAACATGTATGAATTATTTATTAACAAATCTAAATTAGGTATCCATTGCTTACTTTTAATATAGGACGCTTTATGTAAAAGAACAATATTTAATTTACAACATACCTATCAATATTATACATTTTCATTTTTAATATTTGTTACAATCAAAACTTAATACTATGTACCTAGGTACGGAATAAATACAATGAAACAAAAATGTAATTATGTACTGAAAATTGTAATCTAATGATTATAACACGACAAAGAAATATTTATCATGGATTATCACTTACGGATTGAATGTAGATACCTATATACTAAAATAACTACATTCTACATTTTAAAAATTTCCAGAATAATAAGGACCTGGTTATCTGTTTGACATCTTGAACTATAAAAATAATTTAGACAAAAAACACAGTTTATAATAAAAAAAAAAAACGAACCAAATAGAATATAAATTTCCTTTTAAATTATTTTAATATAATATGTAAAACATAATATTCAATCTGTCTTGGGCTACAATCAATAGGATAATATTTTTGTTTTAATTATTTAATTATGTTGTACTTTTGTAGTATCAAGTTTATCAAGTAAATTAATAGTTGTATACTTGTACCCATTTAAAAAGCAAACACAAATGACAAATTATATTCCATTTTGTGTTCTGTTTCATTTATCTAGTGGCCATGGTGATATTTATAAAAAAGTTCAGTTTATAAAAAGACATTAATTGTTAAATACAAAGACTTTTATAAGCCTGGGTACAAACATGTAATTTAATAAATAATCTGAAAACAATTAAATCATTAGTACCTAAGTAACATTTTATGTAGTACATAATTTTATGCAGTACCTACCTATTTGGAAAAATATAGGTATAGTTGTTAATTTAAAATCACATAACAATGAATTACAATTAATAGTGCGATTTTTAAGATTAAGGTTTTAAACGACTATCTACATAATATTATATTATATGCAAGAAAATGAGGTAATTTACCATACTTTATTATGTCACTAATTGGAGAGTACATTAATCTATTTATGATAGACTAAGGCAGCGGTTCCCAAACTTTTTAAGTTCACGCCACCCTAAAAATAAAAAAAAATAATTGCGCCTCCCATAAAAAATTAAATTACAAATTTATAGTATTTAAATATACAAACACTTTTATTTTTATGAAAATATAAGTTAACAGTAAATATTATTAAACTTCAATTTAAAGTATTACAAAATACAATGCGTATTAATATTTAAACTTAATGCGAACAATGTGCTTGTTTTCTGTTTAATAATTCTTCAAAATTAGGTAGCAATGTTGTTGTCGCAAATGGTAGTAGTACACGCAAAGCTTTATTGGATATTTCAGAATATTCATCTTTAATGCTGCTCCAAAATTCTAAAAGTGAAAATGAAGAAAATTTCATTCGTAACGAAGAATCAGATGAAATATCGATTAATAATTGTTCTTCTTCAGTAGTTGTGAAATTTGGTAATGGGTTTTCACTAAACGGATCTTTAATCCAATTGTATTGTACGATGTCTTCTGGAAAATATTTCTCGAAATGATTTTTAAGAGTCATCAGATGATCAGAAATTATGTTTAGTGAGCTCATTGGTAATTCAAGATCATTATCTTCAATAATACATAGATAAGCAATTCTATAGAGTAATTTGGTTTATTATTATTTTTTTTCATCATTATGAAATATTTGTTTGGAATAGTTATGACATTTCAACAAAATTATTGTTGATTCTAAAATATCAATATTTACCACGCGGCTCGCGCCTCCCCTGCCAAAAGCTTGCGCCTCCCAAGGGAGGCGCGCCTCACAGTTTGGGAACCGCTGGACTAAGGCATGTACTATGTACACTCCCGCTGACAGTAAATTGCGGACGGGTTTGATTTATTTTATATTTTTATCTATTTTTTACCTTTTTCATATTTGTCCTTTTAATTTTTAAATCAATGTTATTAGTTATTAGTTATTACTAATCTCGATTAAAAATAAAATTATTTTATTTTATTCCCATACCCAATATTACACATTTCCTGTGAAATATTATTTTGTACTTAGTTTTGACTTTTGTTTTAAAGTCCATTTTCAATTTTCAATTTACAAAATATTTAAAACCTTAAAAATACGCCCACGAAAATTATACGCCCGGGGATAAATCCCCGACTTCCCCCCTAGATCCGGCCCTGGTTACATAGTTGAAATAGTAGTACCTACAATGATAAGATATATTTTGTAGAAACAAATGAATTGACAGTGATTGTAAAACCGTAATGAATACATAAAACCGTGTTTAGAATAATTAGTTAAAAATGCAATAGTCAAGTTACAATGATGAACGTACATAACATTATATTTGTTCTATATAAACAATTGAATAGTTAAATCACAATAATACACATTATAATATATTTGCTTACATACAGACATGTAATTATTAAAAAATGCAATACTTAAATTACAATATGTAGGTACGTGACATTATATTTTTTGTTAAATGAACAATTTAGTAGTTAAATTACAAATTATTTGTTATATAAGCAATTCAACAGTTAAATTACAATTATGTACATGACATTATACTTTTAAATAAACGATTAATTAGGTAAAAATACAATAGTTAAAATACAACGATGAAGGTACATGACATAATATAATGGTATAAAAATTTAGTAATAAAAATATTCATACAGGAAAGTAATATTATTAAAATTTAAAAAAACCAGTAACTATAATTTGTAAAATAACGTAAGAAAATCGAAAAAAACATGTTTACCCACGTAAATACATATTATATTATAATACATAAAAAATGATATATGGTAGATTAATTTAAAAAAAATTAACGTAGTAGAAATATTGTAATTTTTATACACAAAGTAAAGTTAAAATAATAAAAATAGTAAAGAGAAAAGATCGGAAATTTGTAAAATTACGGAAAAAAAATGCAAAAAAAATCGGTATTCGGGCGGCCGTGTAAACCATATGGCTTTGGCGACACTACCGCTCGGAAAGCGTACGACGGATTTGAGCCCGGGACCTACGTGTTTTCTACCTAACGCCTAACCTACTCGGACACAATTTGAGATGTGAAATACGGTCAAAACATCAACACTTAAGCCGTGCGTCTACAGAGCGACGTAAGCCGATATATTCGATGTACATCGATGTAATCGCATACAATTCGCTTGTAATACGCGCATCTCAAATATATATATATTTAACGGGGCGCGTGAAAAGCGTTTTCCGTTAATAATTATTAAATCAATAGGCAAAAATTAAATTATACACGTATATACATGTATATTGTATTTATACGCGTACGGTCGGTCGTAATTTCTAAACGCGATTGCGAAGCGAACCTACCGATTTCGTAAGAAAAGCGTATATATACGGATTTAGAAAGACGTCAACTACACGATTCGGGCACGAACGGAGTGCAAAAAGACGAAACTGTCGGAGAAAACGAAAAAAATCGGCAAAAAAGTCCGGCCGGGAGCGTATTTTGCGATCGACATTGCGACGGCTACGGACGGCGCACGGATATAAACCGCCCACCGGCGGCTTCGAGAGATCGCGATGCACGCGAATCGAGTATAAAAAAGGGCGAAAAACGATAGAAAACGGTCGAAATCGTGTGAAAAGAGTAAATGTTCGAAAATTTCAAAAATCGGCGGAATGATAAGAAAAGAAGTGATAACGCGGGGCCGGGCGACGGAACTTTCTGATTGGCGTTCCTTATTTGCTGCGTCGCGCCTGTCGGACAAAACTGGGGACTAACCTCGTTTTATAATATAAGAGATAAGAGACTATATTATAATTTCAGAATGTTTAAGTAGCATAATTTTTTTTTTAATAGAAACTGATATACTATCAATTCTTATTAATATTATGTATGAAGCAATGCAATTACAAACGAAATAAATATCTAACCTCTGTGGCGCTAATTGTAGCGACGCTACAGTACTACGCTACTTCATTTGTAGCGATGGACGAAGCGTCGCTACATTATGCTTTAGATTTAAAAAGAAAAATATTTTGTGTGATTTTCTAACACAACATAATTTGCACATTTTACGAGTGCGTGAAAAACAGACAATCATATTTATTTATATATACATAAATAACATTGATTGATAAATAGATATAGATAGATTATTTTATTACTATTATAATCTGTAAACCAAATGCAACAAAAGTGTGTGGCACAAAATAAAAAATCAATTTCCAAACACATCTAGATCATTAGAGGTACCACAATTCCAAATTTCAAGTTCATACTTGAAACTGTGGAATTTTATATTAATTTACTGGATGGACGTTGCTAATGGTTAATTCCTACAAAACCATTTTATACCCTTTAAAGATTGAACCTCCCAAATCTTTTCTTAGCGGACGCTTACGTCAAAATAGTTATACTTAAGACAATCTTTAGTCCGATCCGTCCTGTGGTTTCAGCTGTACGTTGATAGATCAGTCATATAGAGATTAGAAACACTATAATTAAAAATCTCAATTCATTTTGTGAAAAAGTTAGAAATGTAGAATTTTATTTTATTTTATTTTATCGGAGATACGGCGCCTACTGGTGTATTTTTATATCCTAATGTACAGTACAGATTGCGCAACTATCAAAAACTACCATCCACATGTCTGAATATTCCTGTGAATTATCCAAAAAATTACTTTCATACAAACTTTGTCCTGACATTTCAGAACATCCCAAAAAATTGGCTGAATCGGTCGAGCTGTTCTCAGTGATTACAAGACAAACATTTTTATTTATATAGTTCTATTTTAACATCATTGTAAAATCATAAATTGCTTTATAATATTTAATTCATATTTATTTATTATTTATTATTAGTAATGTTATAATAGTCATATATTTTAAATACAAGCATAAAAGTTATTTCTCAATATAAAAAAAAAATAATGTCGCTACAAATTAATTCAACTAAAACTTAGAAATCAAGTTAATAAATAAATAATCTAAAAGTGACGAAATTCACTTGTATCCTATTACTTATTAGTAATACTATAGTAAACAGTTACCCTGATTTTTATAATATTTATTTTATACGGAATATTTTATAAATTACAAATGTCCACATACAAGATATTAAAATAATACTCAAACAGACAGCACGGCTCTAACGGTTATCTTCTTCATTTATTTTTTACTTTCTCCTCTTCCTCCTTTTTTTTCTTCATGATCTCCTTTTTTTTCTCCTCTTCCTCCTTTTTTTTCTTCATGATCTGTTTTTTTTTCTCCTCTTCCTCCTTTTTTTTCTTCATGATCTGCTTTTTTTTCTCCTCTTCCTCCTTTTTTTTCTCCATGATCTGCTTTTTTTTCTCCTCTTCCTCCTTTTCTTTCTCTTCTTTTTCTCTCTGTTTGGAAGCTTCAATTTTTTCTCTGTTCCTTTTGGAAAAATATATATTGCACATTTGCCTAATCCCATACATACTCAATTCTGCAATAAATAGAAACCCATATTACATAATGTTATTTTTTTATTATTTATAAAATTTTGAAAATAAATACATCTTAAATTTATAAATATAAAGCTGTATTTTAGGTTTTATGAGTGCTAAAATATGTAGGTATTAGTTGTAATGTATCAAAGTTGTAATAGTTTTTTTTCAGTATGGGTATCTACTTCACCTCCAGCTGATGTCGTAGTCTTCCACTTCTGATTCGTCCATTTTTGTCCGATACACAATCGGTAGCCAATAAATAGTGGAGAACTAAGATATGGGTGAAATAAAGAATAGGGAATGTGTATCAAAAAGGTGCCTATCAATTTTGTCGTTTTATGTATGCCTAAATTAATTAAATAAAATCTTATGGAGTGGTTGACTGGTTTGATAAATATTGGCACAAATCAAATAAAAAAAAAACAACAACGAAATAACCAAGTAAAATTTAAAACAAAAATATAACAGAAATAATAACGATAAAACAGACTATTACATATCATTCTTTGCATTCTTATTTACACGCCTAGGGTTGATATTTTTGTGTTTGGGCAAAGAAAAATGTGATAAGAAAAATTGATATTTGTGATATCCCTTTTCGCAGCCATTTGTTTTCTTATGATGAAAATCCGAGTCTATATGCTATAACCTGTATATTTCAACCATGGTTCTACCTATCATTTTTTTTTTTTTTTTTTTTATTAGATAAAAATTAGTATTTACAATTTGTAATATTTATATAAAACAATAAGTAAATTTGATAACAAAGAAGGTAAAAAAACATAAATAGCGTGATTAAGGAGGTCCACCAGTGTGGATACCCTCTAACTTGGGGTAAAATTTACCTATATTTAAAACCCATTAATTACTTATCGGGCGAAAAACACTGCTAGTTTATTACCGGAAAACTATACAGTTTAGGCCAAGCATACTAATACACGCGGTATCATTTTTATATGATTTAACTGAAAACTAAGAAATATTATCATTAATAATCATTCACTAGAATACGTACTTTTAAAACTATTGGCCGTTGCTAATTTTGCATGGCAATAGAAATAGTCCTTTACAGCTTCTAAAATAAAAATTATTCAATGCATAATGTATTTAATTTGATAAGTGAAATTATTCAAGGTTAGGTTTTATTTGTTTTAAATACTTAATTGTTGCCCTGTATGGACTACATTTATCAAGACCCATAAAATTAGAACTTCAAAATTATTTTTCCTATATTTAGCATGTAATTAACATAATAACTTTTGTAATTATTTGTGTAGTTTGATTTGGGCGTGGTCTTTGACCCCTTCCAATAATTTACAAAAATACTAATTTTCTAATTATGTCTAGTCAAATATGCAATTATCATGTATTGGCCCGGTTGATCCCATAACTCTAATCTTATCCGTTGGTTCCCTTATTCTAATTCGCACTTGGCCCTTATCTACACGTCATATTATAGAAATTGCAAACTTTACACAATGGTTTCTCTCAATGTGTGATTTTTTTGCTAAAGTTGATAAAAGAATCTGAATTTCAATATAATAATTAGTTCTTTTTTTAAATACTGAAAATACTGAAATAAATAATGGCCATTTGTGCCGATTTGTATTGTGACTGCTGCTGTTACTGTTTACATTACATTAAAAAAAGATTCTATACATTCCAAAAAAACTAAACACTGTAAACAAATTCTGATATTAGTAACCAAAAAATAATTCTGGCAGGGGAAATGTATCAATTCAGCATTTCTATATCTACGTCATAGACTCGTAGTACATTGGTTTAACTATAGGTGGGTTGAGGGAGGGGCCGAGGGGGCTTATGTAATGCAATAGTAGCAGTCTCCGATATAATATGATTCCGTATAATTATTTTTATGACTATAGAAAGTGTTCGCAGTAGGTACTACCATGTTTGAATACATGTTTAAAAATATTACACAAAATAATTTACCACTCATTTTCGAGTGTACGTATTTCTGATCTGTAACAATATATAATTATTATAAAATACGTTATTAAAATATGTTCAGCTTAGAACAAATTTTTTAAACTCTTATTGTAATCATTGTATTGAATTATAATATGTATTTTTATTTTTTAACCAGTTGACAGTTATTGCAAAGCCATTGTTCTTGTCAAATTGTATTTTCTTTCGTACTATATTTTCTTAGATAAGCATCAATATTATGAAGTTAAGTTTAATATTAGACTGAAATAACCTATTATAAAACTTCAAGTGAGAGCATTATCTATGTTTAGGTATGCGTTAGTGTTTTTGGAGATACTTGGATTTTTCTGTGATATATAAGTATTTTTGAATTCTGAGATTTTAGATACATAAACAAATCAAAGGATATCTAGGTGCATGGTTATTGTAATAAACATAGATATCAATCAATCAAAGATTACAATGTGTTAGTTAATTTTTGGACCAATCACAGCATATTATGTAGTGTTTGAAATATGAAATTACACAAATTACATGAAGTACACAATTTATTTATTTTTTTAACACAATGTTCAGTGCTATATAATATTCTAATGTCAGAATTCAGTAGATACATGTATAATATTGTATACCTACTTGTATCATTTAAACATTTAAACATTAAAATATTTAAAAATGTTGAATACCATTTTAAATTTATAATACCACAGGTTAGGTATACATACAGGTACCATACAGTTATGAAGGTAATTTATGACAATTATAAATTATGTAAAATATAAAACTTATTTAAAAATAAAACAAAATTTATTAAAATACTGAAATATTTCACACATTTTGAAATATTTAATTTTTTTAAATTTCATAAAATTTTCAAACACTAAGCATAGGCCACATAAATAGCCAATAGGTATATTTAAGAGTCTGAAAACAAAAAAGCAACTTCATAAATTATAATTTGTTCTTACTTGCAAAATATACAACAGAAAAAACTAAAGAAAAAAATGTAAAATTGTTAATAATCATTAGTAACTATAATATATCTAGTTTTTGCTTGAGTTAAGTGGTTCTTAAAATTCAAACCACAGTAGTACCAATTTAAAGTATGACATAATATAGATCTAGAAAAAAATATATATATAACCACCAGTTGTTTTGACACGTAGGGTTATCCAGAGATGGGGAAGGAGGGTTGTCACAACGTCGCTTCTTGGTGGATGTCCGCGAGAGCGCTACCAAAAACCGGATTGGCCGCCGAGCGGGCCATCCGTAGACAGCAGTGTTAACTTTGACTATGTTTAAAATTTAAATGTAGTTCTGTAAGTGATAAGTGGTGAAATTGTGTTTCTTTTTTCGTTGTCTTATTATTTCCAAACATCTACATATTCAATGAGCAATCTGAGTACGAGTGAAATCGGAATTATGTTGGTATTAAGTGAATTCATTCCGGTGGATAAAAAGCGAAATTTACAGATTGTTACCTCAACAATAAACACACATTTTAATGTATGGTAGCTACAGACAAAAGAGGTAGGCAACGAATAGTACATCTGTACAAGAATTGTACTACAAGTCAATTTTGGAATCTGTAACAGATCAATCAAAACCAAAAAATGCAGGTCCTCGTTATTTAACTGAACAATTGACTCTTAAAAGTGTAAAGCGGAAAGTCATACATCCAAACATTGTATAACGGAAATAGCAGATATTTCACTGATTAGTGATAGTAAACCGTGAAAATTGTATAACTACTACATGTCTGTTTATCTGAATTGCAGTCCAGAACCAGTGAGCTGGTTGGTCGATACTGTCAGGGTCTATTGTATATTAAAGTGATTTATCTCAGAGAATTATTATTTGAAGATATTACCAAAGACGTTAACCATGCATGATGCAACTAAATGAAAAGTAACCAAGGTCACGATTTAAATTCTTATGCTCTGATGCTACATCCACAGATATATAATATAACTGAATACCAAACTCCTTATATTATGATAGGAGGAAATTGAATTCAGTCGCCATTTGAAGATGGGGCAATAACGATACTGAAATAACCATCAATATATTATGTTATATAGATTATTATAACTTAATCGATACCTATTATCATAATAGATGATTTTTATCAGATATTGACTTCGGAGATAACAACAATTTGCTATCTACTCTAATACTATAAAATGAATAATTCATGGAAAAAAGATAACAGGAATTCCGAAAACCAATTAAACATTGCTCCGTTTCTACGTTCCGCTGGCCATATTATGGTCCGTCGGTCCGTCGATTCCTCAGAGCGTCCAATCGCGTGTCTACGCCGCGGCGGTCGGTTGGTTTTCAATTTTTTCGAAAAATGTTACGCTTTTTAAGCTGTTTTCGACCTTTCCTCACCTTTTCTGATCCCCGCCATTCGCGTAGTTCGTTTGTTTTCAGAGCCGCCGATGTGCGCTTTGTACGTGATATATTCGTCCATAGCCTTCGTAATCGCAACCGACGCAATCAATTGCTTTTTCGTTTCACCATTTGATTTATTCGTAAAGCTTAAGTTTATTTCTTTCGAAAATTCGAAACCCGTGGATGTAATGTTTGTACGCAAATTCCGTTTGTACGAAATGTTCACGAACTGTCAGTCGGTCTGCTGCCAAACGTAAACACAATTTTGTGGTTTGATTTAAATAAATTCATTCAAACATACATTATAATAATGTAACAATAATTATAATAATGCTTCATATTATCATTGAATAAATTACATTTAAATTTTAAACAATGTGTATATACATTGAATTATATACGTATATCGGAATATATTGATTTACGTCTCTCCGTAAGTACACATCGTCATAGCTTAAGTATTAAAGTTTTGACCATTGTTGACATCACAAACTGTGGCTCGGTAGATAAGGTGTAGGTTCCAAAAACGTAGGTTGTTAATTGTTATAGGTATGTCCTAGTTTGAATCTCCGTGTACGGTCTCCGGGCTGCGACTGTTCTGTGCTGTATGGTTTAACACGGTCGCCAGTGACCTGGCATTTTTTGAATTTTTTTTTCACGTTTTTTTCATATATTTATACACTACAGGTACATGTTTTTATATATTTTATTTTTTAATATATTTTGTATCTATATGTTATTTATTTTATTAGGAATTGTAATTGCACATTTCCCAAAATGTTCATTGTTATATATCCTACAATAAATACTGATGCCACTTGGGCTTGTTACGATGAGAATAAATGATTATGGAACCTAGGTTGTGATGATGTTATCTCGACATGAACAACTTAATGTGCACTGCCTTGGATTTGACTGGATAGGCAACTTAATGCGCACTGCCTTAAAATGACCGGGTAGGCAACCAGATACGACGACGACGAAGATAGGAGGGGACCAAAAGAGACTTAAAATTACCGGACCAAGGAAGTTAAGTTTATGCACGGGAACAAGGAAGATGAGTTTAGTTATTTGGGGGGATGTCTTGGTGGTCGGAATCGGTGTGGTGCAATGACCACCAAGCTCACAGAAATCGGCGAATACTTAAAATCTACCCTTAACTCTACGATGATGATGATGTGGATGAAGGCTGCAACAAATGACAAACGACGGCGAATGGACTCGAAGACCTTGGCGGCCTCTCACACACCACGGCGGATGCTGGCGGTCTTACGCATTGACTGATGGCACCAATCCCGATCTCGGGCGATTGAAAAGCACCGTCCAATGATGTCTCAATGACGAGCTGATGAGACGAGTAGGTACACGGTAGTGATACTCAACCAGAAATACAAACAACTCACTTAAATGCTGGTAATGATGGTGCTTTATTAGAATAATAAAGTAATCAAACGGCTTCGTGTCGCACTGACTCGGCCGGTACAAAATTTTAATATGTGTCGCAATGACAGCACAGGTAATTTATTTAACGGATTACGTATTGCCGCAGTGGCAACGAAAACAAACAATTCTGCGTTGCTTCAATAGCAGAAAAAAAAAATGAGACAAAATTGTGTAAATTCACGAACCAACAAAACAATAATTTCTTACACTTAATATATGTACGACGATGTGTATATGTAAAAAAAAAAAAAAAACTTAACGGTAAAAAATTAATAACAACCATAAAGGCGTTGGCCGCGTAATCACAACAAAACATTAAAACAGATGATATAAAAACAAAGACAATATGACAACAACGATAACAATAATAATAAATTAATTTATATAAGTGATTATAATTCACATACCTAACGAATAATGATTAAATGAGGACGAGGAAGAGGGAGAGAGATAAAGACTGGTCGCCGCCATTGCGCTGTTTTGCATATCGCATGATAATCACAACACTGTGTCGCGGCAACATACCGGCCCCCATTAAACCCTTCACGGGTTTAATTGAACTTCTCGTTGACCGGGTAATAGGCAAAGTTTGTGGATTGGTCGTTTCATTTCTGTGGTTGCTGTTTTTACTGTAGCGACACGCACGAGACCATCACTTCCCGTGTGTAGAAGAAGTATTCTACCACGACTCCATGCGAGTGGTGTTTCATAGTCTTCTCGAATCAGCACTAAATCACCAACTTGGAGATTCTCTTCAGTTTGAGTCCATTTGTGGCGTACTTGTAATGACTGAAGGTACTCCGTCCGCCATCTTTTCCAAAATCCTTGAACCAGTTGTTGTACCATGTGCCAACGAAGGCGTGGAGCTTTTATATCGAGGTAATTGGGCTCCGGCAATGCGGTTAAAGGTTTTCCTATAATAAAGTGACCCGGGGTTAGTGCTTCCATGTCACTAGGGTGTGTTGATACGGGAGTTAGAGGCCTTGAGTTTAATACTGCTTCGATTTGTGCTAGCAAAGTTTTGGCCTCCTGGTGATTTAATATCGACTCTCCTAAACTTCTTCGTAAATGATACTTCATTGATTTTACTCCTGCTTCCCATAGTCCACCCATATGTGGGGAGTGTGGCGGAATGAATGACCACTCAATTCCAGCTTGAGTTGTGTATGCGTTAATATTTTGTTTGAATTCCCTGGATCCGAGAAAGTTCTTAAGTTGTGCCGCTGCTCCAACGAAATTTCGACCATTATCAGAATGTATTTGTAATGGACACCCACGTCTAGCGATGAATATCCGTAACGCAGCGAGAAATGATTCAGTAGTTAAATCATCTACCCATTCTAAATGTATGGCTTTTGTTGTAAAGCATACAAATAAGGCGACATATGATTTGTATATATGTTTTGATCTACGTGAACCGAAACGCACTTGAAAAGGCCCAGCATAATCGACTCCACATACATGAAATATTGATGATGGATTAGCTCGACTAACCGGAAGGGAGCCCATTAGCTGTTTGGAAGCTTGTACTTTCCATCTATAGCATGGGTTACATTTAAAAATTATCTTTTGAATAACACTGCGTAAGCCCGGAATCCAGAACACTCTTTGCAAACTAGCTACTATTTGCTGTGGTCCGGCATGAATTAATCGTCGATGTTCCTTGTCCGCAATTAATTCGACCAAATATGTTGTCGAAGGCAGAATAATGGGATGACGTGCTTCATATGACTCGTTTGAGTTTTGTAGCCGGCCTCCAACCCTTAATACATCATTGTCGTCGATGAATGGAACTAACGATTGTAATTTGCTGTCATTCAAACTGTTTCCAGCCTTTAACTGGGAAATTTCCGATGAAAACGCTTGAGCTTGAGTGATTTTTACCCAGTACATCAACCCTCGTTTTAATTCTTCAGCTTTCAAATCTCCAGTCAGGCGGTATTTCCTTTGAGTAACTGCTCGAAATAGATAAGCTGTTACCCGTTGCAACCGTTCTAGTTTCGAGAATCTATTAACGATATCTTGAAACTCCATTTGACTTTCGGTGTGGACGTGTAATACCTTAACCGTCTTACGCTGTTCTACCGGTTCCTCTTCGTTATTCAATAACTTTTGTTTTGGCCATTCGGTTTCTGGTTGTATCATCCATGAGGGTCCACTCCACCACTGAGTACAGTTAATGATTTCTGCGACGCTTAAGCCACGGGAAATGAAATCCGCCGGATTATCCGTCCCGTCAATATGCCACCAATCTTGTTTGTTTGTTAGTTCCCGGATTTCTTCAATACGATTTGCTACGAATATTTTCCAAATGTCTGTAGCACCTTCATTTCGAATCCAGCTTAATACAATAGATGAGTCTGACCACATTCGAATCCGATCAATTTTAAGAATATCGTTTAACGATTGGACCACCACCATCATCAACTTGCTACCCAACAGTGCTGCACATAATTCTAGACGAGGCATTGTCACTGTCTTTAAAGGGCAGACCCGAGATTTAGCAGTTAATAACTGCGAGTGGATTTCACCCGAATGGCTAACTGTGCGAATGTATGCACATGCTCCATAAGAGACTTGTGACGCATCGCAAAATATATGAAGTTCATGTAGCTGAATGTCACTACTCCGTATAACCCTTCTTGATATGCTTACTTTAGTGATATCCAAGAGTTCCTGTCTATATCGTTCCCAGGCTGTATGGTATTCACTCGGAAGGGATTCATCCCACGATAGCTTTAATTTCCACAGTTGTTGAATAAATATTTTCGCCTTTACAATTACTGGTCCAACGAGCCCGAGTGGATCAAATAAACGGGATATTTCAGAAACTATAGTTCGCTTTGTCATCCGTGTTAATGGTGTCATTACTTGGACCTTGTAATGCAGCTGGTCCGCTTTAGGTTTCCATCGTATTCCAAGGGTTTTAGTTGAATGGTCATCTTGAAAACTAAGATCAGAATTAGTGGCGCGCAGATCGTCGGGGATTCTGTTTAACAACTCTTCACGATTGGAACACCATTTTCGAAGAGAGAATCCTCCCCTTTCGCACAATTGTAGCATGTCATCTTGAAGTTTGGCTGCTTCCACCAGGTCTGTGGCGCCGGTCAGAAGATCATCTACATAGAAGTCACGCTTGGTAATACGTGCTGCACTAGCAAGGTCATTCTTTTCACAGTCTGCTAAGAGATATAATGTTCTGATAGCCATAAAAGGTGCGGATGATGTTCCATAAGTAACCGTATTTAATCGATATGATTCCAACGGATCGTTTGGGTTTTCCCGCCAAAGAATTTGTTGGTATGACTGACAGTTTTCACTAACATTGATTTGCCTGTACATTTTTTCAATATCAGCTGTAAGAACTACCTGGTGTATTCGGAATCTCATTAAAATTCTACGGAGGTCATCTTGAATAGTTGGGCCAACCATTAAGGTTTCATTGAGTGATATGTTGGTGGAAGTTTTTGCAGAAGCGTCAAAAACCACTCGAATCTTTGTGGTAGAGCTCTCATTTCAGATGATTGGGTGATGTGGTAAAAATACTTGTGGATGTTCCGTCGAATGAGTATTCGTCTTAGTCGACAGGGTCATGTGACCAAGATTTTGATACTCACGCATAAACCTGACGTATTCCAGCTTAAGCTCTGGATTTTCATTTAATTTACGTTCCATCTGATGAAATCTTTTCGTTGCCATGAAACGCGATTCACCCAATAATTGCTGTATGTTGTTACGAAATGGTAGCTTTAACGTAAATCTACCATCGGCGTCTCTTGAAGACGTCTTCAAAAAATGGGTTTCACATTTGCATTCTTCAATACTATTTTTTCTTCGTTCCTTTGGTTCGACGACTTCTTCGAGCTCCCAAAACTTCTGTACTTCGTTTTGAATTGAATTGTCGATACTCACCATTGTTGTCATGCAAGACGTGTGAGGATTAATGTGGTCACTCTGTACCCGTCCTGATAGAACCCAACCGAATACAGTTTTTTGCCAAATTGCGCGAGTGCCTGCTGGTTTTATTTGACCGATGCATAACAGCTCATAGAATATTTCGGAGCCAAGTATTATATCAATTTTTTTTGTAGAACGGAAGTCTGGGTCAGCACATTCGCCTAGATTAATTGTGTTCATGACTTCGTTGGTTGGTTGTACTGACTGCAAGGTATTTGCGATATTCTGTAATACCAAGAATCTTAAATCTGTTGAATATGCATTAATTCTCGATTTCACAGTAGCGCTAACTTGTCCAACTGCTTTACATGACATACCTGATACTCCAATTACCGTTGTAGCTGTTTCAGTTATTGGATAACCTAGTTTTATTGCCAGTCTGGTAGTCATAAGGTTGACTTGGGAACCAGAATCCAATAAAACTCTTGCCATAATTCCTTTACCACGCACATCGGAAATTATAACTAAAGCCGTTGATAACATTGTTACTTCACCGACGGTTTTTCTCTTTTCCATTATTTGTGCCTTTAATGCTACTTGGCTCTCTTCGCTATCCACTATGCTTTCCTGAGTATCAGAACTATTTCCAGTTTCTTCATCAATTAACGCACTGTTCGCAAATGCTTCGGCTCTTTCATCGTCTTCCAGATGTAGTTTGCTATTGTGTCGTTGGTTGCATTTTGAACAACCTGCACTACGACAAGACGATGCTCGGTGACCACCTCGTAAACAGTTAACGCAAACGTTTATTGTTCTAGCAAATTTCACTCTCTCTGGCGTTCTCAAAGCTAAAAATTTTGGACATTGATAAAGGGCATGTACTAATTTGCACATGGGACATTTTGACTGTGACATGATGGACGGTTGGTGAACCGTGGTAAATGACCGTCGAACTGGTATTGATGGGTCTTGCCACATGTTTCTTCCCTGTGCTTTAGAGACTTCAATTGCTGCGAGCGTTTGACATCGATGATTTAGAAACGTAGTGAACTCGTTCCATGTTGGTACACTTGTATCTTTTCGTGAAGTTTCCCATTCCATGAGAGATTTATCATCGAGTTTGGAAGATGCTATGTGTACTAATAGCGTACTCCATTCATCCACTGGTTCTCCGATAGCTTTTAAAGCTCCCAGGTGTCGACTAAAGATGTCGAAGAAACTTCTCGTTGCAGAGGCAGACTCATTTTTTAACTTATTTACTGCAAATAATTTTGATACATGAGTCTGTACTATAAGACGCTTATTTTCAAATCGTTCTTGAACTAAGTTCCATGCAACTAAATAATTCCCCTCCGTTACCTCCAAACTTTCGATTAGCTGCGCCGCCAGCCCTTTCAAAGATAATCGGAGATATGGAAATTTTTCTACTGCAGGTATTCGAGCGTTGTGAATCATGACACTGAAAGTATCTCGATAACACTGCCAGTTTTCATATTCTCCGTCAAATTCAGGAAGGTTGATTCTCGGCAACTTCATGTGAGCTTCAACACCCGGTCGATGATTTCGACTAAATGATTGATCAGACGATTGGAGTTCTTGTGATGATAACTCATTCACGGCCGCCGCTTGTATGGAAAAAAATTCATTTTCAAATTTGATGCGTTCTTCTTGCTGCGAGTCAGATTCATCCAAACCTTCGATTTCAGTTTGGATAAGGTCGAATTCATCAAACAATGATTCCAGTTTGTCTAGCCGTAATTTCAACTCAGTGTAGTTGCGCCTTGCATTCCTTTGGAATGTGTCGAAGAATGATCCGAATCGAGTTAGTTTACCCTTTGCTACCCCGCGTTTCCTAATACATTCAGTCAACTCTGGAGGCGCCATAGTAGTTTTGACTATACGGTATAACCGATGATAGATTGTTGAAATTAGATAAGATTAGAAAAGATTGATTTGTAAACCACGCTCTGCTACCAATGATGCCACTTGGGCTTGTTACGATGAGAATAAATGATTATGGAACCTAGGTTGTGATGATGTTATCTCGACATGAACAACTTAATGTGCACTGCCTTGGATTTGACTGGATAGGCAACTTAATGCGCACTGCCTTAAAATGACCGGGTAGGCAACCAGATACGACGACGACGAAGATAGGAGGGGACCAAAAGAGACTTAAAATTACCGGACCAAGGAAGTTAAGTTTATGCACGGGAACAAGGAAGATGAGTTTAGTTATTTGGGGGGATGTCTTGGTGGTCGGAATCGGTGTGGTGCAATGACCACCAAGCTCACAGAAATCGGCGAATACTTAAAATCTACCCTTAACTCTACGATGATGATGATGTGGATGAAGGCTGCAACAAATGACAAACGACGGCGAATGGACTCGAAGACCTTGGCGGCCTCTCACACACCACGGCGGATGCTGGCGGTCTTACGCATTGACTGATGGCACCAATCCCGATCTCGGGCGATTGAAAAGCACCGTCCAATGATGTCTCAATGACGAGCTGATGAGACGAGTAGGTACACGGTAGTGATACTCAACCAGAAATACAAACAACTCACTTAAATGCTGGTAATGATGGTGCTTTATTAGAATAATAAAGTAATCAAACGGCTTCGTGTCGCACTGACTCGGCCGGTACAAAATTTTAATATGTGTCGCAATGACAGCACAGGTAATTTATTTAACGGATTACGTATTGCCGCAGTGGCAACGAAAACAAACAATTCTGCGTTGCTTCAATAGCAGAAAAAAAAAAATGAGACAAAAATGTGTAAATTCACGAACCAACAAAACAATAATTTCTTACACTTAATATATGTACGACGATGTGTATATGTAAAAAAAAAAAAAAAACTTAACGGTAAAAAATTAATAACAACCATAAAGGCGTTGGCCGCGTAATCACAACAAAACATTAAAACAGATGATATAAAAACAAAGACAATATGACAACAACGATAACAATAATAATAAATTAATTTATATAAGTGATTATAATTCACATACCTAACGAATAATGATTAAATGAGGACGAGGAAGAGGGAGAGAGATAAAGACTGGTAGCCGCCGTTGCGCTGTTTTGCATATCGCATGATAATCACAACACTGTGTCGCGGCAACAAATACATAATATTATATATGTTTATATGTATATTGTGTATAGTTTGTATTTTTCGTAAATTATTTCGTATGTTGTGTGGGGTAAAACACGATTGAGCATAGAATGTTTCCACATTCACGTGGCCAAAATTTTGAAATTTATTATTTTCACTTATTACAAAAATTTTTATGAAACTAGACGCAAGCTGTGAGCTGAGCCCAGCTTTATCGAAAATGTTATCGATTAATAAATTAGTTCACGAGCAATAAAGTTCCAACGTTTTAAACATTAAAATCGGGGGAAAATAAAAAATAATAAATTAAGATACAATTCCAAAATTATTATAGAAATAATATAAGTGTTCGATCACCCATACTCTGTAGTATTCTTGACTTATAAACCATGCAGTTTTTAATTCGTACCATATTTTGATTTTATTGTTTGCATAATTATTATTATTATTATTATTATCAAACAGATAAATGAAATTGAACTATTTTATAGACTATGAAATCATGTTATTTTTTTGATGTGTTATATTTTGAATTATTATAATTATATAATCAAATTATAAATAAAAAATATAAACTAAATTATTATAATATTTTTGTATAATATAGCTTAAAATGGAAAATGGCAACGTTGCAGTTTTTTATGCTCAATCGTGTAGATTTTCTTTTCTATTCCGATTTCTTTTGATACAAAAACAATTTGGGTGAATCGTATAGCAGAAAAGGTGTTTTATGCTCAATCGTGTCTCAGCCATTGTGTAATAGGGTTTTAATTTATAGCCGCTCGACGTTGGGTCTGAAATCCACCTGCGGTGGATTGCTTACCTGATTTGTTGCAGCAAATTGTCAGCGATCCGACAAAGTAGAATGCCTAAATAGGTAGCTAACTTGAAAGTTAATCAATTTTGACTTGAGATGACTGACTTTCTAGACACTCCAACACTGTTTTCGACTTTACAATTTTTACTATTAAGAAAAAGTACCGGACATGGCACATACCACTCTATCCGGGATAGGCGGATATCACAAAATCACCTCATATTACTAAAATACCTTCTATATAAGTGTGACATTTATAATTCGAATTTGTGTCCAAAATCGGTACTCACTTACAACTAACATAGGGGTCCAACTATATTTTCCATACTTTAGTTACCTACGCTACCAACTTGGTCGGCAATCTACCGAAGATTGAGATAGAGCGTACGCTTCTCATTATGTCCGCTATTCGACGCTGTTGAATTGCCTATCTATGTGATTTGATTACTGAGAACTAGACAATCGAATAAACCAATTGACTCTTCACTTTTTAACAACAGGTGATCGTATCTAGCCTATCCATTTACAACGTTTGTGATGGATTGCTAGACACTCTAACTTTTAAATATTCCCGACAAAACGTCAATCCTTACCACTTATCCTTATCACAAATCCTAAACTTTCATATTACAACTGTCGCAACTTTTATAATTCAAACGACTCTTACTCCAAGATCTATACCCACATTCAGCGAGTCAAACTGCCTCCGAGTTTCACTTAGAGCTAGTTATATTATAAATCTGTGGCTACATCAGGAGATGTGATATACGCCGTTACTAATTATTATATGCACACTTACATTTCCACCCTTTACGTTTCACTAATATTACTACAAATCTCGAGGGTGTGCCGGTGTGGTGTTTAGTGTGAACTGTGCTGTGTTAGCATGATCCATGAAGAATGTGATAAAAGCTAGCCATATTTTTGTTTTTAGTGAACGATTGTATCGCTCTAGCTAGAAGAAAAATATCAATACGCTTTCAATGTGCTGTAAGCCTGTAGGGTAATTTATTAGTTGATTACTACATTCCTTAAATATTCATGTGTCATCAACTTAAAAAATATTTGATATATTGTTTTTATTGTGTTAAAACAATTAAATTATTTTTTAACTAGTTATTTTCTACATAATCATAGCCATATTTAAAATAAATGAGTAAAACCTCCTTAGTATTGTTTAATTATCAATTAAAGCTATCGAAAGTCTATAATAGTTTTCTTACCCAACTCAAACGATGTTAAAAAATTTCTGTAACGGTTGTTTTCTAATAAAAAAAAAAACATATGTTTTATTATTTGGTATATAATATTATACAAGGTACTTGTCTTATTCAACTATAATATTTACATTTGAGATTTAATTTAATTTATGATTTCTACACCCCATCAGACATTTCGTTTAAAATCAAATCGTAGGCATAAAATATGTAAGTAGTGGTTCTTTAATTTCAATATTGGATTGTTTACAGTTTCTACTTAATTAATACTTAATAATTGATATTTACTGGTTCAAATATACCTATTTCTAAAAATTACTCCAAGATTGGATTTTTTTTACGAACATTTCTCAAGATTTGTAACAGAAACTAACCACAATATTTCTTTTGTTACCATAAAAAATGTTTATACTGGCAGCGTGCCAACAAAGTCAATGATGAGATACTATAATTTTGAATTACTTATGTAGTCTACCTATACCTAACGATTGAAACTATCAATAGTGCTCGTGAAATACACATCATCTTCAGCAATTTAAAATGAAGATACATATTACGTATGTGACACGAAATATTTTTTGATAAAGTTTTTTTTTTAAGTAAAATATTTATAAGTTTCATACAAGATTCAATATTTATAATAGCATTTTCTATACATGGTACAATTTTCAAAATATTTTTAATATATTAAATACATTTTGCATTTGCGATTTTTAAATAATAAATTTTTTTCTATAAATATCAAAAAAAGAACATTTGCCCGGTAAAAAAACTTGTAAATAGAATACAAGGTTTCTAATATATTTGTATTATATCTATTTATAACATTAAAGAAAGATGACCTTTACGATTTACTTACAAGCATTTTATGTATCAATATTCAAATATTATAAAAATTATTTTTTAGTCAAAATTGTATAGAATGTTCGAATTTTATAACTATGGCTTGACAATTTAATACAATGTTTTTCGTAAATATTGAGGATATTAGAGGTGTACTAGAATCAAAAAATCTATGAAAAAAATTAAACATTTTTTTTTATAGATATTTTAATTTAAAATTTGGACAACATTACGTAGTTAAACGAAGAATGATAAGGATTTTAGTTATTTTGTTGGGCGTTTCTGCAATATGCGATCGAACACTTAAGACACTAAATATTATCAAAAATGATATATTTTCCTTTTCGTACTGATAATACGTGGTATAAAAGACAGTTAACGTAAATCTCACCGAAATGGTTAATAAATTAATCAGTAACTGATCACATATTATTACATTCTAAGTTATAAGGTACATCACATATTTCACGAATGTCACATACTCACATATTCACGATATACGAGATATAAGATTCAAAACTTGGAGTGTTGGTGAGTCATAGCTCAGAGAATTATATTATATCTTAATTATAGTTAAATTCATGTTATTGAGATCTCTAATTTCTAGAATATGATTTTTTTTGTCAAATCATTACATACTCACTATCATACGTATACACTACACCAGCACTTTCTGTTTAAAAATGTATAATTTATGAAATATCAATGTTAATACAAACAAAATTATATTGAATAAAGATTTTAACAGTAAATGTTAGTGTACGTAAGTACCTATATTATAATCAAGTTTGGATAAGGTAAAATAATTTTTATATCATTTAGATTAAGCAATAAGCATATATTTACTAATACGTTACGTTTAAAATTTAAAATTGTATACAATTTAAATAGCTTATTCTTAAAAATTGCATACAATCACAACGATTTAAAAAATAATAAATCACTAATAACATTTAAACAGTGCCAACAACAGTTTTTCAAAAATCTAATTTTATTAAGTAGGTAGGTAATTAAAAAACTATTGATTATAGACATTTGAAATGGTCATCTATTCTTTAATAAATATTATTTTCTATAAACAGTATGTTTAACTTAATTTGATAATTTTTGTTTTTTCGTGTCAATCATGATAATATTTATGTAACTATTAATTTTATATGATTAATCATTATTAAATTAACAAATTGGTTTTGTTTTTATGTTGTTATTTAACACATTTTCATCATTAAATTGTTTGATTAGTTTAAAAAAAATTACCGAATTCAAAGCCCAATATCGAATCTTCACACTCTAAAAGTATACAAAAAAAAAAATTTTAATTTATTGCTTGTCGGAAATGTATTTAATTAAACTAAATTTGCAGTAAAATTTGGAGAAATAAATAATACATTTATTAATTATGGGAATTTTGAGATGATTTTAGTGGGGTGTTAGTCGAATTAAATATGAATTTATAAAACTAGGTACATTTTAAAATTGATCATAGGATATTTTGTTGATACTGGTAATGTCAGAGGTCAAAGATGGATATAATGAAAATAATTAACTCAATCTAAGTTAAGTTAAGAGGGCACAAGGTCTATAAGTTAACAGTTAAAAAACCGTACATTTAACTTGATAAGCTAAAAGTTGATATGAAATTAAAAATAATTAAAAATATTAACTTAACTCTGTTTAAAAAAAGTTAATATGCTTTTTAATTAATATGTGGATCATATAAAGAGTGACTGCGTTCTTTCTAATTTCCTAAACTATTATAATAAACAATTCTATTAAACTTTCAACCTAATAGGGTCTATACCTATTTTACTCTACATGATTATTAAATTTTTAAATACCTACATAATATCACAATAAATAATTTAACAAATATTAATTTTTTTATATCAAATATAAATTTAAGGTCATATAATAATATTATGCTTATCTAATCTACTATAACAGTATAACATAATATATATATATTATTTACAAAATTATTTTATCAAGAAAATTACAGAAATAATTTTAATTTTTTGTTTTTTATTGATCCTTAAGCCCGGCTTCTATGGCCATTAGCTGTTTGTAGGGTTGTTTGTGGTGGTGGTAGGGTTTGGAATGGTAAGTTTTTACACGTGAGTGTTTGTGTCTGGCAGAATTTTTGATTGGTCACCCGTAGGTATCTGCTATATCCGGGTGGGGGATGGCGGCACCTGTTCTCCGGACACCGTGACTTGCCCGGAGAAAAATGCCGCCCGGTGGTCGAGAATCGAAACCACGACCGGCAGCGCCGCAGCCGACGCGTTAGACCGCTCGGCCACCTCGTCCCCCGAAAATAATTTATCTGTATTGTTTGGTATATTATTGGATTATTTTTATTTTTTTTAGTATTGATATATTTATGTACAAAATCATAAAAACTAAACATTTCAAAAATGTACAACTTGATGCAGATTATTTTTAAATAAACCGAGGAATGCTAATAAATTCATGATTTGATTAGAAAATTAAGTAACTTTAACTTTTTAACTAGTTAATGCCCATTTTTGTCAGAGGTGCTTTACAAATATATCGATTGGCTCCTTAAAATTTGACTAAATATATAGCTTTCTTTTATTAAACACTTTAAAACCTTCTTATAACAAAATCGATCATTGATTTAAAGGAATTTGCATTATAGGGAGACTATAAAATACGCAGGATATAGGTTATTCAGGACTGTTGTTATTGCCCGTAATAGTATTCCCTTCTATTTGTAGAGTGTTCGTTAATTTTATTTTATTATAAATTAAGTCAATTAGTATAAAAGCTTACCTTTAATAACTGTGAATGTATAAACGTAAATCGTTTTTAAATGTTTAGTGTTATGAATTATAATTAATTATGTAAGGAATTATTAAGGACTTACGTTTATTTGTTTCTGTAATTATATAAATATATACATTTGTAGAGGCATAATAATTTTTAAAGTTATTAAAATTTATCAAAAAAGTATAAACTATTATATTATATTACTTTCATCAACTGTGAATGTATAAACGTAATTCGTTATTAAATTAGTGTATTGTTATAATTTATAAATTATAAATTATTTTAAAAATTAGTGGACTTACAAATTCTCTGTTCTGTAAATGTTTAAGCATAATATTTATTTTAAGTTATTAAAATTATGCAAAATAATGCATACTTGTATGTGCTTACTTTCTTCAGCTGTTAATGTATGGACGTAAATCGTTATTAAATAAAATATAGTGTTAAAAATTATAAATTATGTAAACAATTAGTGAACTTACATTCTGGATCTGCTGTAAATGTATAAACATAATTATTAAACACTAAAAGGAATTAAATTAATCAGGTAATTATTTGTATTTTTTGTTTTTAATTACGGAATTACATTTTTTTTATAAAAAATAAAACTCCAGTTATTTATTCAAACCAAATAAAATAACATGTTCCTTGTATCAATGAAAATAATATTTCACTGAGATTACACTGTTGTATACCTCGATCACAGACGTACACAAATAAACAAAAAAATTAATTATACTAAGCACTTTATTAAAACTTTGACGTCCAGTGGGGATAGAGTCACACGATTACCACCTGTCGACCCTCATTGTCTTCAAATATAACTTAATATATATTAGTTTTACACACTTGGTAAGCAAAATCGGTAATATTGATATTAAGTTTAACCTAGTTACATTGTACTTATTGACTGTGCTTAAAATTATACTAATTAATATTTTATTACCTACATGATTGATATCTTAACCTAAATTGTTCAACGTCATTCGTTTGTACACCATTTGTATGATACCTTTCAGTGTCAACCCTCAATTTTGAAAGGTATCATACAAATGGCGTAAAAATGATGTTGGTGAGAAATTCCAAATTCTGTTAAGGGTGAGCTGGGATGACGTCAAACCAGCCCACCCCTTTATTTTCTTTATAACTTAAAAACCAATTGCATACAAATGGGGACAATGGTCATACAAATGTATACAAATGACGTACTAAAGGTTGCATATGAAAAACCATCAATTTTACATATGATGTGGGCTGGTGAGACGTACGTCAAGAAATCGTCTTCCATTCAATTGACATACTACAAATTATTTCCCTTCGTCAAAGTAATCAACATATAACGATTTTTAATCAAAATATCATTGATAATATTATATCTAATAAAACTTCCATTGTTTTTAGATTCTGAGCTAGTGTGTGTTTATTTTTTTCAACATATGTATAGGGTTCGGATTTAAAGGCAATATAATCAGTAAAAAAAGCATTAAAAATGTCAAAAAAGGCAAAAAAAACATTTAGCTTATATAAAAAGCAATTATAAAAAAAATGTACTAAAAAATTAAACAGTTTGTATATTTAACTAGTGTGTATTGAAAAAAAAAAAATCACTAGCATGTACTTAGATAATTGTCTTCAGTAAAACGTTGACGGTTTGGGCTTAAAATATTTTTACGTACAATAGGCAAATTCTGATTTCTTTTGTATTTTAAACTCAAAAACGGTTTTTAAAAAAATTGAGCATTTCGAATTTTTTTGACCATAACTTCTAAAATAATTTTGAACGGCATTTTTTGAAAGCACCATAAAATTAAGCATGGAAAAACACACATTTTGAAAAAAAAAATCCAATAAATCGCTTGGGAGCTAAACTGCTTCGTTCCAATTATGAATAGTAATAATAATAATGATCCGTATTTTTTCCTGAATTCGATTTTGGTTTTGAATTTAAAAGTAGGCAAAAATATTTTTTAAACGTTAATTTATTAGTATGTAATTACTTATTAATATTTAATTACAAATACGTATATTATATATTATATTAGGTATATTGTTAAAAAAAATTATATATTATTAATAATATTTTGTTTCTACGTCAAATAATTCAGTTAAAACATAGTATATTAAAATATTATACAAAATATAGGTAAGTAATAATAATAATAATATAAATTAACATATAAAAAAAAAATTAAAACATACTAAGTCTTTTTACTATAAGTAGGTACCTCGTGCTAAGTGCTTACATTCAATGAATTATTGTTTGATAATTATTATTATTATTACCTATATTTAATTTGAATTACACATAAGTAATATGTTATCGTAATTTAAAACAAAATATTATTATATAATATAATATAATATAATATACGTATTTGTAATTTAATATTAAATATTTTTCCGATTACCATTTATCGATATATCGAAGACTAAACATCGATTTCGGTTAGGTAAAAAAATAATTTTTATAACTTTCATAACTTTTATAATTTACAATTACATTTTCTTTTATAAAATTTTTTTTTATTTTAGTGGATATCGAGTAGTCAAAAAAGGATGATTGTAAATGTGTACAAGGATTTACAATCGAAGGCTCCAGATATGCCGTACAGGCAAAGTATGTCCGATATTTCGAAAACTTTGGGTATTGGATTGAATTCAGTACAGTTTCTGAGTATAAATCTACCGGGACTGTTGCATCTCCTACCAAGACATGGAATAAGATGTGTCTGCTCGACAAAATTGACGATTTGGATAGGAATACGCTACGTCAAAAGGTACACAGTTTTTGGTTAAAAAAGGAGTTGCCGACAATCGACAAGATTTTGGAAGCAGTGAATGATGATCCGGCTCTTCCTAACTTCAAACGCACCACATTGTACACTACTATTAAAAAATTGTACTTTGTCTTCACTAAAAGGAAGAGATGTAGTGTGTTGATGGAGAGGGAAGATTTGCTTGTTTGGCGACAAAACTACTTATATGATGTTAGCAAATTTCGCGAAGAAGGTCGTACCGTTTATTACCTGGATGAAACCTGGGTAAATACAGGCGATTTTGTTGATAAGTTGTGGGTTGACAAATCAATAAAATCAAAATAAGATGCATTTACCAGAGGTTTGACAATTTGTGCGACGAACCCTACTAGTAAGGGTCAGCGTTTAATTGTGTTGCATTTGGGTCACACAGAAGATTTTTAGAAGGTGGACTGTTATGTTTTTTGTCAAAGAAAAATAGTAGCGATTACCATGACGAGACGAATGGCGACAATTTTCGTGAATGGTTCGAGTCGATAATTCCACGTCTCGAACCAAATTCGGTAATTGTGATGGACAATGCCCCGTACCACTCGGTAAGGGCAGAAAAAATACCAACGGCTACCTCAAAAAAGAACGAAATTTTGTCATAGCTAGCATCATAAGGCATTGTCATTGACAAAGCAATGTTTAAACCACAACTGATGGTGAAGGTTAGAGAAATAAAAATAAAATATATATCTTATGTCGTTGACAATATGGCTAAAAATCCCGGCCATACTGTACTCAGATTTACACCCTATCATTGTGAGTTAAACCCAATTGAATTGGCATGGGCAATGGTGAAGACCTATGTCAAGCAGAACAATACTACATTTAAACTTGATGATGTTAAGAAGTTACAGAATACTGCAATTGATCGTGTAACCAGTGAAAATTGGCAACATTTTATTGAACACGTCAAAACGGAGGAGAATAAAATGACTGAAGTTGACCGCAATATGGACGAAATTATTGATAATTTGGAACCATTCGTCCTCACCATAACAGGCGAGACTTCAGATTCTTCTGATTTTTAATTGTATTAAAACGTATATAATTGTCTTATGTAAAAAAAAAAATGTATTATTTATTTATATTGTATTTAAATTTGCAATTATTAGGTTGACGATCATTTTTTAAATTTGCTATTATTATTTTGGCGATCATTTTTTAAATTTGCTATTTTTATGTTGACGATCATTTTAACATTTTTTAAATTAATATTGTATTTAAATTTGATATTATTATGTTGACAATCATTTTAATATTTTTGTAATTACTATTGTATTTAAATTTGCTATTATTATGTTGACGATCATTTAAAAAAGTTTGTGATTTATATATTATGATAAATTGTCTTATGAAAAAACGTAAATAAAAATAGTTTTAATTTATGAATGACTGACGTATACGTAATTGTTTCGTATAATATTTACGATACCATATTGTAGCATTGTTAATAAACAAATGAATATTTTTAATTATCTTTATTTCATATCATGGACTGAGTATAAAATACAAAATATAATATCTTATGTGAGTTCCGCTTAATGTGATCACTTTGGTGCAGGTCATTTTGATTCTATTAACCGGTTGATTCTAAAAAGCATTTACAACAATGTTCAACAATTTCCTTACGATTTTTTAAAATTTTGTTTAACGTTGGTTGAGGAATTTTCAGAGCTAATGCGGCTTCTCTTTGAGAACATTTATCCAATTTATCGAAACGAACGAGTATATTTTTTTTTTTCTTTTATAGTTAAATCATTTCGTTTGGTCGACATTTCAAAAAATACGTCTGATCATGAACAATAAACCGAATAAACTAAATGACACAAGTACACGACGCCGCGACATACAAAGATAATTGATTGACATAATGTACAACGATATACAGTAATACTGATAAATTCAAAAATAAAATGGTTTTTATAAATTAATCAGTTTGAGATACCATAAAAACGATAAGATTGTTCATAAAAGTGATTCAATTATCCGGTACTTAGTGATTCTAATAAAAGGTCAATTTAACATTAGTAGCATACAATTTGGTTTGGGATTTTCATTTTTGATTCTAATAAACGGTTGATTCTATAAACCAGTGATCACATTAAGCGGAACTCACTGTATTAAATATTATATTTAATATAAAATATAATATCTTATATTAAATATTATATTTAATATATTACAGTGTACCGTGACGGACAGACATACAACAAATACGCGCATTTTAAATTATTTACACACATCGGCAATCGAAACTAGACTAATAATTAGAGCTCCCAGTCGCGGCGGCGCGTCAAGCGCTACCACGGAACAAAATCCACGCCCATGCGCACAACTCGGCCGCCGGGTCATCAGATTCTCATTTTGAACAGAGTATATCTAATATATAAAAATGTCGTGTCACAGTGTTTGTTATTGAACTCTTTCGAGACGGCTTGACCGAAACTAAATAATGTTTAAATTATTATTTATGTTTATTATAAATTACAATTACATATTATATATAATATATAATAATAATAATTGTAATAATAATTCAATTATTATTATATACATTCGTATACTATTTATGTATAAATGTATGGCGTCTTGCTGGCATTTTTAATGACACAAATAAATAGAAAATATTCGAATTTAAAAAAAAAACTATATGAGTTGTTATGGGTTATAGTATTTGAGAATAATATTTATTTATTATTTTTTTTTTTAATTTGATTATTTTCTATTTGTTTGTGTCCATAGCAACCATTAATAAACAAAAATTTCTATCATAAATCTCAAAATTCCTGTTTGAGCACCTCCCGGGGGTGATCAATTCACTTTTTAAATTAGCCTAAAACGTATTCTTAGACCTATCAAATATACACAGAACATTTGATCAAAATGGATCTAGCTGTTTCGGAGGAGTTCAATAACTAACACTGTGACACGACAGTTTTTTTTTTTTTTATTGGAGTTAAGGCTTCAACACAAGGTCATTAGCCTGCGAAAGATTTACAATTTTATATATTAGATAATATTAATTCATCTTACAGGCTATAATAAATAATAACAATATAAAATATCCAGACTAAAAAAGTGTCTCCTCTCAGAATCGTTTTTTATACCATGATATTAAATCATTGAATTCGAGTTAAATAAAATCCATTATGCATCGAATCACTTCTAACCTACTGTACAGTGGAGCGACTTCCACTTTATTACTGATTTATCCATTATAAAGGAGTTGCTGTTATAGGGAGACTTAAATACGCCATAACGGTTATAATATGGGACTGTTGTTATATTCGTTGGAGAAATATTACAGTATTATAAGCAGTCCACTTTAACCATTTTAATGTGTACTTGGGTGAAAGAATGTTGTTTTATTATTTACAAAATAAAATAGTATATTATACTATTATGAGTTTAGCTTCATTAGCTGTAAATGTTTAAACGATTAAACGTAAATCGTTATTATAACCATGTGGTTTGAATTATAAATTATGTAAACAATTAGTGGACTTACGATTATCATTTTCTGGATTTTCTGGATTTTCTGCATGTACAAATTAGATAATTATTAAATTTATTAAAATTATGTAAAATAGAATATACTATTTATGAGTTTACTTTCATCAACTGTGAATGTATAAACGTAAATCTTTATTGAAATCGTGAAATTGCTTTATATGTAAAGTAAACTTTCCAAAATATTTAAGATAAAAACAATTAAAAAAAAATATACTCTAATTTAAATTATATTTTCGGTTTCCTTTACATAATGTAATACCGGTATCAAATTTTTTCGGCTTTGGTTCTCAAATTAATATCAGTTTAAAATTTTCAGTGATTTCGGTTTTGTTTTATAAAACTGGTTTCCAATTATATTCGGTTTCAGTTTTTTTAATTGTTTATACCTCTTTTATAAAAACCAGGTTCAAACCCTGGACTAAAAAATATAACATTGAGTTCGTTTTAACAGTTATACTGTGTGCTCATGCGAAAGAACATTGTTTTATTGTTAAAAAAGTAAAAAATAATAGAATATTATGAGCTTACCATCACCAACTGTGAATGTAATGTATAATGTAAATCGTTATTAAATTATCAGTGTCATGAATTATAAATTATGTACACAATTATAGTGGACTTACGTTCTATACTATTATCTTCATTTAATTAAAAAATAATTATGTATCAATAATTGTAAACATTATAATTATTAAAGTAATTCAAATCAAGTAAAATAGTATATATGTACTATTATATGATATTACCATCGTCAGCTATGAATATATAAATGTAAAAGGTTTTTAACTAATTAGTTATAATATTATGAACTATAAATTATGTAAGCAAATTATAGAACTTACAATCATTATCATGGACTGTAAATCATTTAATTCAATAATTTTTTAATATTTTCTGTTTTTAATGTTCATGGATTTAATAATGATAATAATGATTAAATAAAAGTTAAAGAAAATTGTTATGTTTTTTTATATAAAATTGAGATGCAGAAACTATCATAAGCCGACTTCTCGAAAAAATTTAATTCTGTTGAACCAAAGCTTGGAACCTTCATGTTTCTTTGAATTCAGTTCCAAATCGGCTATTCAAAAAAAAATATTTGGTAGCAGTTTCGGTTTTGGTTCTTAAAATTACAGAATTAAGGTACCGTAAATACAAGAGTATTTAGAGGTATAATTTTTTTTAAAATTAAAAAAAATCAATATAAACATCATATATAATATCTAAAATAATAAGCATAAATTATGTTAATAATCTCTCGTCGGTCAGAGTGTAAATGTTATGTGTTTTGTATATTCGTGGAGATTCACGTTCATCGTATCTATGAAATAATATATCGCAGAGACTACACTTAATGAGACCAACCACTATAAAATTAAGAATTTATACTGTGCCTTCTATACAATGGATTTCTCAATACACATTTTTGATCCAGTTTTTGATATCACCATAATTTAAAAAAAATTCAGCTTGAATGTTTTGTGATGAATATATTCACCACGAAATTTAAGTAACTACCTAAATATGTTACTAAATACATATCAATAAATTTGTTGTAGTATAACACCTCAACCAACATGCATGGGAGTAAAACTGTCCAAATCCATTAAACAAATATTAATGTAGCTCGATAATATAAGTCTAGAGTATCTAAAACCTATATCATACAAATATAAAACTTGATTTTTTTTATGTAAAATATGAAATTCCAAACAAAAATTATTCCGGGTGGAGACTGTTTATATTGTGGAATAAGCCAATTGGCGTTGAATTCAATTAATAAATTAAAGAACTATGAATAATGAATTATGTTAAAAATGTGTGAACATACCATCTTGATCTTTTTCTGTAAATGTATAAACATAATAGTAAATAAAATATACGATTTGGAGTAAAGTTAATCAGTTATTGAATAATTTTATAAATTTTTTCTACTTTAATTTGTTATTCTATGTTTTGTAATTAATACCATCAGTTGTTGGGCAACCAGAGGATTTTTTGTTTCGTCTGCTATTTTAAGCAGCATCATAATATTATCACGGTAGGCTGCAGTAATGGTCCTAAGGGCGATGTTTTGACAGCGTTGAATTATATCGATATTAGACTTACTGGTAGGACTCCACAGTTGGATGCCATAAATCTAGGTTTATAATAGCTACATACAAAAGACGGTTTTCGATGGTTAAATCGGAGTGGGGCCCGACTAAACAATAATATTTTAAATTTATTCTTGTATCTGAATTTTCTAACGGATGTGTTGTTTCCAGCTTAGACGAGGTCAAGGTTCATTACAAGAAATTATCTGAATATTTTTATATGATTGGTGATTGATTGAGTACACTTTGTAAGTTTTCGGTTTTGCGTTATGTATGGATAATGTGTAAAAGTGTATCGCCCATCGCCATGGATCATAATTTTTCTATCGTCTCTTCAAAGCAAATGTGTTATAAATAATTATTGACTTTTTGACATTATCAGTTGTAGGGAACTGACTCTTACTAGTTGACAAAATTGC